ATATAATATATATATATATATATATATATATATATATATATATATAAAATATATGTTGTAAAACTTTGTGTCTATGGTCCGAGGTTTAGCACAATGGATACAATTTTACATTGTGATTGAAATAAAACCAGGCAATCGTCAATCGTAATTGTCAATCCGTAGTTTGATAGCGTTTTTCACTAAGAAAACTGCAGTTTGATATAAATTAAGTGTAAATCGGTTTTAATTTGTTTGATAAATAATTTGATCCAACGTTATCAGGACTATAAAGAATATGTAATGAATACTATAAATTATTTATTAACATTAATAATTTGTAAATTAATTTGCATTTAATTACATTCAGCATGCGCCAATGTTGCACTAGTTTTTCCAGTAGAAAACGTTGAGCCGTAACACTAGCAATTGCGCGATTGTGATTGGTGCATTATATATTACTTTTAATCAATTAGAGCAAAGCAATTGCTTTTCAATAAATCAGAACAAAGCAATTGCTTTAATTGCAGTAATCATCAATCACAATTAAAGGCTGGTTCACCATCTTCGATTAATTTAAAAAGAGAAAAAATGAACAACGCAAGAAGTTGAGTTAAAATAAAAGAACAGACCTTGTTTTATTTAACATACGGATAAGAAATTAGATTAAAAGATAATTATGAATAAAACAGTCAGAAATTTGGTTTTATACAAGCGCGATTCTGATTAAATTAATCACTGAGATATATATTACATATATCAAGTAGGAGTTTGATCAAAATTTTTTATTCTAAAGAGTCACAAGTCACAACATACAAAAAAACATAACCAATCAACCGAAAGTTCAAGACTGGTCTTACGTCTTCAATAATTCTGGACTGTGATTAGTCGATTCGTTTATTGTTCGAGTACATTGATTTGACTTGGACTATTCACATTTTCTCATATGCTGTTATCTCAAATCTTCTTTGGAAAATTCGATTAGAATACATTGCGCATCAGTTCATCTCATGTCTCTCATATATATTGTATGTACATCTATATCAATAGTGGCTAAGTTCACGTCTGTGGACCGATTATATATACTCGCACGGTAGCCATGTTTAGAACGCGTCTACCAACCATCGCGTCACGCGAATCAAGTCATTGTCCGATATTTATTCAAATTTGCATTTGCAAAGTAGGCGTTGCGATATTGTAAAATCATTGCGCGTCTGTCAGTAGAATTTCGCCGTACATAATTAATATCGCACACTACTGTCTTATCATCGATAACGTGTTTTTCGCTGTGATGGACGTGCGCCCAGTGCATTCACAGCCAACTTCAGAGGCGTGTCATGTTTGCGCTCGGCGCGTTGCATCGTGATCGAAATCGTTGCGTTTCGTCGTCGGGATTCTATGAAAAATGCTGTCGCTAGGTCCGAAAAAGGACGGCGGACCCAACGCCAAGTTCTTCGAGGCGCCAGAAGTTCTTACCCAGCTTGATGGTGTTAAGCAGTGGCTGCTCAAGAACTGCAAGAAGGTACGCTCGTTTGTGCGAACATGGATACCACCCGGCGTCGTAAATTCATTGCGGTACCTCCGTGCGGCTTTGCTTTCTCTTTCGCGGCACGCATATCGTCGATCGTAATTTTACATGTCGATAATCTGTAGTTTTTTAGAGATAAAATCCTTGAGAAAATAAATTTTACCAAGATTCTCGAGAAATGTCCTAATATATTTTATAGCACTGACGCGGACGTGAAAATCATCCTGATGACTGTACATATTTTGTGAAATTTATTACTGTTTATAACTGTTTATTTATCGCTTATTGATGCATGTATGCATATGTATGTACAGTGAAAGTATGCATGAAATCAGTAATTATATATATTCTTAATAGATAAATATACCAATTATTCAATTTATCACTTTTACTATACATGCACATATGTGTGTATATATATATATATATATTATATATATGCATATGTACATGCATATATAAGATCTTTAGAGAAAAGTAATAAGTGAGAACTCAACAAAATGTATACTAGATGATAAAAGAATAGCATTTACATATAAATTTCTGTATTATTAATTTTCAGTATTATATTATATGATTATTTCATAATTTTCAGTATTACATTATAAAATTATTTCATAATTTTATTTATGATTTCTTATAGTATGTACAAACGGATCCGCCCACTAATAAGAGCTTAGCCACGTTGCTGGTACAGATTCTGCAGTTTCAAGAGGATAATCTTGGCAAAAATGTATCAAAGCCACCTATGACTAGGCTTCCAGTATGTAAAATATATATGTTATGTAACTAATAAAACAATAATTGTTATATCTGAATTAATTATTGACAAGTTTAATTTTTGCAGATGAAATGCTTCCTAGATTTTAAGCCTGGCGGTGGTGTTTGTCACATATTAGCTACTGCTTATCGTTTTAAGCAGGAGCAAGGATGGAGGCGTTTCGATTTTCCTGGTGGAAAAGTAATTGTTTAATACTTATTCTATATATATATATCTTTTGCAGAGAAATATCTTTTTTTTTATATAGTATTGATATTCTTGTCCATAAAGGTTGCATAAACGTAAAATTTTTTATTGATTAGTCAATTATTATTATTACAGTCAGGGTCTCGTATGGATCGTACAGTGGATATGCTAATGGCGGCGGAACGTGCTTTAATACAGAATAGATGTATGACTGTACCAAGTATTTTCGTGAAACCGGATGTTGACAAAAATACAGCTGCAAAAGTAAAAGATGTAGTTAGAAAGCATCAGGGTACTGTCGTGGAGAATGAGACAGATGCTACACACATTATCTATCCTCCAGTAGATCCGATGGAAGAGGAATACGCACGACCTTGTATGAGACGCGAACGATCGGTTCTAATTCATTGGTACTACTTTCCAGACAGCTATGATTCCTGGTCAACACTGGATCTTCCATGGGACTATCCCGAAGGA